CACGTTGGCCAGGATGGTCTCAAACTCCTGACCTCAGGTGATCCATCCGCCTCGGCCTCCCAAAGCGCTGGGATTACAGATGTGGGCCACTGTACCCGGCCCGCACATTCTTTTTACACCAACTTTAGGATGCAGAATGTGTAGTCCCAAGTGGAATGAGCTCAAAGCCAAAAGAAGGGCAGGACCAACGAGGAAAAGAATGAAGGCAGACGTGAACATGTAGAACCCAGCTTACAAGGTCTGGTATTTGATAGAAACAACAAAAAAATAGAACAGGCTCTCCCAATTTCTTCAAACTAGTCTGTAAACATAAATAGTGTCTTGGGCCCCTCATTTCTCCAATGCCAGATGCCTCAGCAACAAGGCCAGAACCAGAGTGAGGCAGGTGAGGCAGTTGCATGACACTGAGAGTGATAACTTTTTTTTTTTTTTTTTTTTGAGACGGTGTCCTGCTCTGTCACCAGGCTGGAGTGCAGTGGCATGATCTCAGCTCGCTGCAACCTCCGCCTCCCCGGTCCAAGCGATTCTTCTGCCTCAGCCTCCCAAGTAGCTGGGACTACAGGTGCATGCCAGTGTACCCAGCTAATTTTTGTATTTTTAGTAGAGATGGGGTTTCACCATGTTGGCCAGGATGGTCTCGATCTCTTGACCTCGTGATCTGCCCGTCTTGGCCTCCCAAAGTGCTGAGATTACAGGCGTGAGCCACTGCGCCCAGCTGAGAGTGAGAACTTCTTCAAGTTGACATTCTGGGTGCTCCACTCACCTCCCCTCATCCCCACCACGTTGGGCAGTGTAAACATCATCTTTCATTTTAGTCTTAACTTGAAAAATAGATTAAGAGGCTACAAATTGGACTGGAGTCTGCATCCATTTGAACAACTCTTCTTTGTTGGCAGCCCAGAATGGAGGATGAAATTAACAATGAGGAATTCACACTTGGTAAAAAGCAAAATATGAAAGCCTGATTGTGGATTTCCTAACGGACAAGATTATTTTCCTCTACAGAGAGCCTTAGGTTGCCAGAGGAACCGTCTGCAGGGCCCCAAAGCATTTAGGATCAGACTATTCTGTCGACGTTAGCCTAGCCCACTGATCTGGAGCAGGATGTGACATTCTCTGCTGGTGGTTTTGGCTTCAATCCACCGAAGCCACATGTCGAGGACTAAAAGAGGGATCGGGCCCATGTGTGGCTGATTGGGCCCTATCTTCTGGAGAGAGCTGGTACTCATTAAGAACAGCCAAGACTCTCATCTTCCTGTCCCAAAGGCAGGGACCTTTCTTAGCTCTTTCAGGTCACCGGAGATACTGGTTTGCCTCCCCAACCCTGCTGCCTCAGGAATGCTGTGCTGCAGGGCTGTGTCTGTCAGTTTCCACCTGCAGGCTCCCTCACTCCTTTCCTGTACTAAGCTAATCCTTGCATATGTTACAAGGGTAAAAATGGTACATCTGGGCTGAAACCAGGACAGCAACATTAACAAAATGAAAAGTTTAAAGGGACAAGCTCACCTAAAAATTACTTGTCCCCATGCTTCCCCCACCCTTCCCCTTTCTCCCTTAGACCCAACTTACAGAAGAAGAGCTTTAATGTGATAAAAATACTTGGCTTGGCCCCTTGCCTTCCAGGGTTGTTTAGAGAAAACCCCTGAGACCCTTGGATGTTGTGTTGTCTGCTGGGATTCTCCCAAGGGCTGCATCCACAGTGTGGAAATGGATAGGGTGCTGCAAGGCTATTTCCACAAAGCACGTGTGGTATTTGCATGTGATTTCCCTAGGCACACTGTGCAACTCCTCCCCAGACCATTTTTCAAGTTGAAAACATTTTTATGGCTCTCTTGATGTCAGTCACTTCTGGATTTTTCCTCCTATCTGAGCTGCCTTCTCCCTCGGGCACTCTCCCTGGTCCAGATCTTTGGCAAGGGAGCCAAGTGGAGTGAGGGAAGAACCATAGAGGAATGCAGGACTCAGCCCCTCTAGAGTCGGCTGCTCCCAGGGCTTAGCTGCTTATCTCACCCTTGCCCCGGGGTGTTTCCAAAATTGTTCACACTAGGTGATTACACTGTAGACTGTGGAACTCTAGCTCAATTAATTCACAAAAAGTCTCTTTGATCTAGAAGTTTCTAAACTACCTTCTATCCCTTTCTCTTCTGCCTCTGGTCAACATTATTTTAAAAATGAGTCTTGGTTGGGTGTGGTGGCTCACGCCTGTAATCCCACCACTTTGGGAGGCCAAGGCGAGCAGATCACCTGTGGTCAGGAGTTGGAGACCAGCCTGGCCAACATGGGGAAACTCTGTCTCTACTAAAAATACAAAAGTTAGCTGAGTGTGGTGGCTGGTGCCAGTAGTCCCAGCTACCCAGGATGCTGAGGCAGGAGAATCGCTTGAACCCGGGAGGTGGAGGTTGCAGTGAGCTGAGATCGCACCATTGCACTCCAACCTAGGCGGCAGAGTGAGACTCTGTCTCAAAAACAAAACAGACAAAAGAGTCTTGATTCACTTATTGCATCTTTGCAATAACCATTGGAGACTGGGCTATTTTCGAGGAGGAAACGGAGACAGTTTTTAAGGGCTTAGTTCAAAGTTACATAGCTGCTTAGGGTTTTGATTTGTCCAACTCAAAGTCGAGTGCTCTTTCTGTGCCTCAGTCTCTTAAACTGTAAAATTGGGGTGTAAATAGCATGTATGTGATAGGGTTGTTGGGAGGGTTGAATGCTTTAATATGGGTGAAGTGTTTAAAACAGCCTGGCACATAGAGTGTTCCATAAATATCCACTAATTTTATTGTGCTACGCCTTGTTTTTCTTTACCATTCTAAGCATCGGACTCATGACTCTTTCGTGGAAGGAGGAACCAACTTCTAGGCTTGGGGAGTATTATTCAAGATGGAGAAGCTGGCTTCCCAGGGTCAGGCCAAGGTGGGACCAGAACAGACACCCCATAACCAACAGGACTGGGCTGCCTGACTGAGCCACATCCCTGCCTGGCCCTGGCTAAGCAGAAGAAACTCTCAGACATGGATAAACCCCCAAAGGGAAATGATGTCCCATTTACAAAATGCTGAGGGCAGGACGAACCAAGGCTTTTGAACAGAGCCAAGGAGCATAAGGCAACATTTTACTCTGTGATGTGTCAAAGGCCTTGTGTTTTGAGGCGGTTCTAGATTCTTCATGACTTCTATCTTACCTTTACCCCGCAGTTACAAGGTAGGGCTTGTGTGTGCTGAAAGGAGTATGGAGGAGGACAACAGTTCCCTCCCACAGGGATGACAGAAAGCCTTGGAGTAGTTAGGACCAGGGACTGGAGAGAGGGCTTTGAACTCTGCCAGAGAGCTCTGGTGCTTGGGAGAAGCTGCCCGGGCAGGGACTTGCCCTGTAACCCAAGCCTTCCTTAGCAGCAGCCAATATAAATGACAGGGATGGGTTCCTACCATCCTGGGGACCCTGGAGGAAACCAAGGCAATCACCATCAGGTCTGTTGGCTGCTGTTGAAAATACGGCAATGAAAAATACAGTATGTGCCGGGTGTAGTGGCTCACGTCTGCAATCCCAGCGCTTTGGGGGGCTGAGGTCAGGAATTCGAGACCAGTCTGGCCAGCATGCCGAAACCCCATCTCTACTAAAACTACAAAAATTAGCCGGGTGCGGTGGTACATGCCTGTAGTCTCAGCTACTCGGGAGGCTGAGGCAGGAGAATCCCCTGAACCCAGGAGGCGGAGAGGTTGCAGTGAGCTGAGATAGCGCCACTGCACTCCAGCCTGGGCGACAGAGTGAGACTCCGTCTCAAAAACAAAACACAAAAAACAAAAACAAAATATAACCAGGAAAGACCTAGACTCCGTAAAATAGCTTTACAAACCTAATCAAGGGAACCAGACACCCCAAACTGTACTTCGAACCCTGCTGAAAAGTTGTGAAAGTCATGTTCTAGCAGTTGAAATTTTCGCTGATCAGTCCACTCTCTCAGGAAAAAAAACACCAGACCTACAAAGAAAATAGAAGGTTTAAAACACAAATGTCTGTAATTAAGCAATGGAATGACGTCTTCCGCCGGCCCAAGCTTCCCACTGTTGTGTGTGTTTTCATCAAGAGGAGCCCCCGGTTCTGCCTGGCCCGGTTCGCTTTAGCCTGCGTCGACTCTCTCGACACTCAGGCCTTTCCAAAGTTTCCAGGGTGCCGTTTCCAAGATACAGACAGAGGCTGAATGTCTTGATCTTATCCTGAGTCGATGTTCTCCTAACTTTAGGGCTACAAGGAGCCATAAACAGCACGTATAGAGTTGGGAGCGCTTTGAACAGACGCACGTGAGAGGGAGGCGGCATCTTCCTAGCCGGTCACCAGCATTAACATGGGGCAGGAGAGAAGCGAACGCATCGTGAGACCCCTCTCCTCGCCCCCACTGCATGAAGTTTCCGACGACCGCCGCCTGCAGATGCTGAGGGGAGGGGCTGGGAAGGCCTCCTCCAGGCACGGGAGCTGCGGAGCGGGGACCGCCCGCTTTGGGACGCCCTGGACAATGGCGAGCGAGTTCCCGGCCAGGCCTCGCGGACCGCGGGAGGGGGCGGCTCCCTGCAAGGTAATCCGAGCCGGGATAAACAGGCGTGGACGAGCGACGCGTCCCGGCCAGGCGAGGCGCTCGCCTCGCGGGGTCCCAGCTCCGGCCGGTCCCGCCCCGCCACGAGCCCCCGGCCGCGCCCCGCCCCCACCGCGAGCCCCTGGGCCCCGTCCCCGCGCGCAGAGTCCAGCCGCGGATCCCCGCGCGAGGCACGCGCCGCCGGCTCCTGCTGCAGCCCCGCGCTCATTGGCTGCTCCGGCGCGGGCGCTCCCGCCCCGCCTCGCCATTGGCTGGGGCCGCGGCGGTCCCCGCGCGGAGCCGCCGCTGACATCACGCGGCCTGAGGCGGCGGAGGCGCCCCCGGCCCAGCCCCGCAGCCCCCTCGGTAGAGGCGCCGCCGCTGTGCCCGGCGGAGGATGGTGCGCGGCGCGCCGGGGGCTCCCCGCCACCAGAGCCGCAGCGCCGCAGCTGAGCCGGCCGCGGCGGGCAGTCGGCCCCCGCACCGGGCGCGGGGCGGGCGGCCGCGGTGAGGCGCGGAGGGCGGCGCGGGCACCGGGGCCGGGCCGGGGCTGCAGCTGCAGCGGCCGCGGCCATGGGGGCCCTGACGAGCCGGCAGCACGCGGGCGTGGAGGAGGTGGACATCCCGTCCAATTCCGTGTACCGCTACCCGCCCAAGTCCGGTGAGGGCGGGCGGGCGCCGCAGCCGCGAGGAGGGAGAGGGGCATGGGCAGGGGCAGGGGTCCGGGTCGGGACGGCCTGAAAGGGCCCCGCGGGTCTTCTGGGACCCAGTGGTCGCGGCCGCTCCAAAACGGTCTTCGAGCGCGGGAGGTCTTCGAGAAGGCCGAGGTTTCCCCCGCCCCGGGCGAATTAGCTCAGGGGGCGTCCTGCAGGGCCTGGCAGGGTCACCGAGGGCACTGAGCCCCTCCACCGGAGGACGGGAGTGGCCTCCATTGTAATCGGCCCCGTGACGGGGACGCGTGCCCGCAGGGACTGCGGCTGCTGGGGAGCGGGGCTGCGGCGTCGCAGGCGAGGTCAGCGCCCCGCACGGACCCGGCCGGCCCGGCCTACGGCCCGCTTGCCTCGCGGGGTCCGAGGGCCGCGGGGCGAGGCGACCTCGGCATCCCAAACAGGTATCTGCGCCAGGTGCTATCCTTGCGCTGCCGTCTCCGGGCCTCTGGAAAGGTTAGAATTAGGTTTCTCCTGGAAAAGCTTCCATTGCTTGCTAGAGGATGGAAGCCAAACGTGTATTTGGAGTGCGGGTGCTTTTGCAGAGGCTGTCAGAAGCGGGGGGAAAAAAAGTAACAGTAATGTTTGGTAACCTGAGTATCAGAGTCACTCGGATTGCCCCTTTGCTAGCGTAGTGGCAAGCCTGGGTTTTGGAGTGGGACCAGCTCTGGGACAGAGCAGAGGTATTGGAAACGTATAGAAGTATTATGTTTGTTATTAGAATCATTCCTTCACTTAGAAAGATAAATGTCTCCAGCCTCTGGGTTGTGGTATCAGCATTGGAGGTGGAGGAGGATTTTGACAGCAAAACAGAGAATCACAAGAAGGTAGTTCAGTTATGTGAGCACCGGCCAGTGTGAATTGCATGACCTAGCTGGTGTTTACTTTTAATTGCAAGTAATTTTACTTTAATTAATTACTTTTAATTTTATTCTCAAGACGTATGGGGATGAATGGCTGCCACATTCTCTCTGGCTTAGGACCTGATGGAGATTTTGGTGATCTCGGAATAAGGTGTCAGAATTGGAGCAGAGCCTCATCTCTTTTTGGTAGAATAGAGACATACTAATGAGATGAGCTGGTTTCTCAGCAGTGTGTCCGGTGTCTGCCAGGTGAAAGCAGGGGCCAGACAATGAACCTGCCCGCATCCCTGCAGAGTGTCTGCCAGAGCTGTGTTTCTCACTGCTTTTGTGCCAAAGAATGAATCCTTGCAAAGATTAATGTAATAATTGTTTTAGAAAGGTCTAAGATAAAGCTGTGGGTCATTAGTATTTTAATCAAGCTCTGACTGATTATGACTACATAAAATCAATGTTAAACAAGGCATAGATTTTGTTTTTTAATAGACAAAAATATTCTTAGGGTGGCATGAGGAAAACTTTTAAAAATAGACAAAAATATGCAGCAGTATTTGTGGGCTCTGTTTTTCTTAAACCACATGGCTTTTATTGATCAGAATATGGAGCACACTTTGCTGAGCCTGGAATTTCCAATAGTGTTTGCTGCCTCAGGAAAGTATTCACTGCTCCTTCACATGTGGGACTTAACGTAGGTAAACCTCTGGAAGGCTGTTCCCCAAAGCATATTTGTACAAGTATGAATCTTGGGTGATGATAATAAAAAGATAATAGACCAAACCAAAACTTTTGTTAATTAGCACACTCAACACTTTGTCTTAAATAATCTTCTCCACTCTACCAATCTTTTAACAGTTTAACTGTAAAACTGTAATTCATGTTAAATCAGAAGTTATCTGTGAGAGAAGTCTTTACAGCAAGTGGACCAAATTATTTATGTTGAAGCTAAAACACAGAAAATAGGATCAGAACATCCACATGGATGTAAACCTTTGTGTATTTGAAACCTTACGTGAACTTGCATACATGCTGTAGATAGAGGCATCGCCTTTCTTCTGATCTTTGAATTGACCTGGCTCTTTATGGGATTACAGTGTTAGTCCTGACAAGAACCTTCAAGAGAGTTTGGCCATGACCACCATGACTAGCTAATGTTTAATATTGTGTGTGTGTGTGTGTCACAGTCTCCCTCTGTCACACCCAGGCTGGAATGAATTGGAGCCATCTTGGCTCACTGCAACCTCTGCCTCTAGGGTTCGAGCAATTCTTCTGCCTCAGTCTCCCAAGTAGCTGGGATTACAGGTGCTCGCCACTACACCGGCTAATTGTTTATATTTTTAGTAGAGATGAGGTTTCACCATATTGGCCAGGCTGGTCTTGAACTCGTGACCTCAGGTGATCTACCTGCCTCAGCCTCCCAAAGTGCTGGGATTACAGGCGTGAGCTACCATGTCCAGGCAAATTTTTTGTAGAGACAGTATCTCCCTATGTTTCCCAGGCTGGTCTTGAACTCCTGGTCTCAAGCAATCCTTCTGCCTTGGCCTCCCATTCATTTCACTGATAAGAAAATGGAGACCCAGAGAAATGAATTGGTATGGCCAGGGTCTCTCAGGCAGTTAGTGTTCTTCATACTATACCATCTGCCTCTACCTCTCAAGGAATTGGGTTTTGAACTTGTACTCAAAAAACAAGACTTAAAACAATCATTCCATGATTATGGAATGAAGGCTATTTCGTGTCATAACTGAAGTCCCTGTAGAGAAATCAGCCTGGGTTGATTTTGAGAAGTCTCCTTATCCTGAGTACTAATAGTGTAACAAAGCAAGTAGCAGAGTCAGCTTTCTCCAGATGACATACCTTGTAGTTTGGGCATTAAGTTGAAACCACTGTCTGGCTCACTGGAAAGCGGCTAGAACTGCACTGCCTGTGGAACAGTTGTTTCAGAAAGAAACACCATCATCTGTCCTTGTAATGATGGTCACAGTGTCCAGCGGAAATTGCTTTTTACTTAGTATTTTTAATGGAACTTCTTAGTTTTGTATGCACATTGAAATAGAAACATTTAAATCCTATGAAGAATGACTGATTTCAAGTTGAGACTTGGGTTTGTAGCTTTTTTCTATCCTTAAATAGAGGTAGATAGAAATAAATAGCCTAAATTATTTGGAATTATTTATTTTTGAATAGGTAATATGGTCACATGATTCAAAATTTAAAAGAGTGAAAACACATACCATGAAAGCCTTGTTCTCCCCGCTGTTTTCCATCCACCTGGTTCTCCTGCCTCCCTCTAAACCTCTCATCCCATGTAACCACTTTTGGTTTCTTTGGAATTCTTTTAGAGTTTCTTGTGTAAATGCAAGGATAGCATGCTATTAGACTGTTCTACAGCTTGCTCTTTTTGCTTTCAGAGACATTGGAGATCTTTTTATATTGTCTCATATTTGATAAGTTTCTCTGTGCTTTTTAACTATATAGTATTCTTCTGTATGCATATGCCATCTTTTTTTTTTTTTTAACATAGTCTCCTATTGATAAACATCTGTGAGTTGTTTTTTCGGTATCTTACTATTGCAAACAGTGCAACAATGAATAATGTCATGCATTAGGTGATTTTTAGATTTATTAATAATTGTGTGAATATTAATCATTTAAGTAATAGAAAGTATGGTGGGAGTTTCTGTATAGCATTTCTGTATTAGCATAGAAAGCAATTTAGAGCATGATTCTACTACGTTCAGATGTACTTTTGTAATTTTTGAGTTAGAGGTCATATATCCTTCTCTAAGATCTTTGCATCTTTAAAAGCCCAAGATCATTCGTTTAGCAAAGAAAGGTATGACTTTGCGGAGATGGTTGCTTTTATGAAAGCTCATCTTTTGACAGAAGTATCCACCTTGATAAAAGTCCATATGGATAAAAGCCTGTTTTCTCTATCCAGGAAGAAACAGGCATACTATAAAGACAATTTGATTTATAGAAACCAGTACCTCATAAATCTAGTTTGTTTCCCTCCACATATTTGGGCAAGTTGGAAAATAGGAATAATTTGTTTTGCTGAAGTCTTTAAGAAGTAAACCTACTACAAAAATTCAGAATGGTAATCAGAGTCCTGACCAGCTAGCTTGGTTAAACCCGGGTTTTTGCTTTTAAGGCCTTCAACTGACTAGACGAGGCCCACCCACACAATCAAGGATAATCTCCTTTACTTAAAGTCAACTGATTGTAGATTTTTAAAAATTAAATTATTTTGAGAGACAGCATCTCACTCTGGCACCCAGGCTGGAGTGCAGTGGTGTTATCAAAGCTCACTGTAACCTCAAACTCCTGGGCTCAAGTGATCTTCCTGACTCAGCCTCCTCAGTAGCTGGGATTACAGGCATATACCACCATGCCTGGCTAATGTTTAAAGTTCTTGTAGAGACAGTATCTCACTATGTTGCCCAGGCTGGTCTTGAACTCCTGGTCTCAAGCAGTCCTTCCACCTCAGGGTCCCAAAGCACTGGGATTACAGGAGTGATCTACTGCACCCAGCCGTAGATGTATCACATCTGTCTACATCATCATTCTCCAAATTTTCGTTATTTTAGAGTACATATATTTTGGTCAAATGGGTCTTTCCTATTGCAAGAACAGTTTTTAAAGGCATGGGTAATAAGTCTTTGTCAAATAACTATAAAAGTTTTTGTGTAAGTTTCTCCTTGCTTTAGGAGTATCAATTTAATATTAGATTTGAAACCATACACTTAAAAATATGTAACTTATGGCTGGGTGTGGTGGCTCACACCTGTAATCCCAGCATTTTGGGAGGCCGAGGCGGGTGGATCACGAGGTCAGGAGATCAAGATTATCCTGGCTAACACGGTGAAACCCTGTCTCTACTAAAAATACAAAAAAATTAGCCGGCATGGTGACAGGAGCCTGTAGTCCCAGCTACTCAGGAGGCTGAGGCAGGAGAATGATGTGAACCCGGAAGGTGGAACTTGCAGTGAGCCGAGATCACGCCACTGCACTCCAGCCTGGGCAACAGAGCGAGACTCTGTCTCAAAAAAAAAAAAAAAAAAAAAAAAAAAGTAACTTACTACAAAATAAGGAAT